AATATTCATTCTATATATATGATGATGAAAATGCAATGAAAAGATAACCTCCAAATTCTTAACAACATTTCTGTGGAAGAGAAAGAAACTAGGGTTCTGTGGAAGAGAAAGAAACTAGTGTAGTATGTGAAATTAAAGGGAATTTCTACATTGTTCTCTGCATACTTTCACTGTTAGAACTCTTTACAGGAACAATGTACTGGTATGCTACTTGAGTAATAAAAATAAAAATAACAATACCATTCTCTCACAGTCTTTATGTTCGAGCTAAATGTTCTTAAAAGAATTATGAATGAATACTTTGAAAACATCATATAACCCAAATTCACCTAGAATAGAACCTAAATTGGGTAAAGAACTATAAGGTAATATGCCAACTAAAATATAAGTTTAATATGTAAAAATGTGACTAATTATTGACATGGAATTGTAGCGGAGATCCAGGTTTTATATACACACTCCGAAAGTTTTGTAATAATACTTTTAGAACTCTTTCATTTCAGCAAAAGGAATAAAAGAATGTGGGATTAAAACTGGGATCTGTCCCTGAATATTAGTCTTAAGTTACTAGTCTTACCTGCGAAATCTTTCACATTCACATTTGCCCCTAAACTTATTAATTCTTTAACTTGTTTCACATCTCCTCGAATAGCTGCCATGTGTAAAGGAGTTTCACCACGTTCATTTCTCTTATTAACTTTATCTTTTTGTCGAGATGAAGAACTGGGAGTTTTCTTTTGGGCTGGCGGTGTTTGTGATGGATGATTTGGTGTGGAATCTATAAGAAGAAAGTTAACAAAAGTTCTAGGCTAAGTATTTTGTATATTTAAAGGTTTTTATTGGTAATGTGCTAATTTCCTGGAACACAAGGAATACCTTCTCACCCTAACAACCCAAAACATGACCTGGATAATACATTAATAACTTAACCCAAATACACAGAGTAGATCTTCCCCTTAGGCTTATCAAACATCATGAGCCAATTTAGAAAAATATTTTATCTATCAATTCATAAAATTCGTTTAAAATGATAACAAAGTATCAAGTACACACCCTAAAAGTGTTTGCTTAATGAATAATTTGATGAACTGCAAAAAAACATATTTTTTCTAGGCATGTTACGCTATTATTCTAAGACCTAGATGAAATGAAATTGAAGGCTGGAGTCCACATCTCTGACAGAGACAAAGCATTGGAGTTCTTCTGTTCTGATATTAAATGCAAATTAAGGTTACAGCGATTTCAGTATAGAAATGAAATCAAAAATCAACAAGAAACAAGGGTACTCTGGAAAAAGGCCTGTAGAAATTGTGCTTTGCTTTGATTCCCTTATTTTGATATTTGTTGTAGTTTCTATGTCAAAAACAAGAAAGTTAAACTAAAGCCCTAAGTCTCCTCCCCATTTCAGAATTACTAAAAACGCTGGTTTCTTAATTAATTAAAGGTTCAAGACATATATATATAGTGTTAAAAAATGTACACATGCATGTACATAGTGTTAATTCTGAAAATTTATAACGATTTACAAGAAATTGCTCTGAGAAAAAAAAAAATCTATGGAAGTTACCAGTCTTGCAACCTGACATGATTTGAACTCTAAAGTAGTATCATCCTTTCCTTAATAAGAAATAAGTTTAAGGTTTACTTTTAGATTTTAAAGTACATTGTCTCAGTAACAGTTTCCTATCTAAGTATGTCCAGAATATATACATCATAGAGCAAGGACCTTATCTATCTTATTTATCACTGTATCCTGACTGTTTAGAAGATTTTTTGGTACATAGTGGTACCCAAGAAATACTTGTTGAATAAATTAATTTTCTTATAATCTTTATAGTCAAATTATTTAAGAAAATTAGTTTGTTGAATTCCTTAAAAACTAATCTAATGGATAAAACAAGTAACCCTACACTCCATGTGTGTCTATATGATAGTAAACAGCTTGATATTCCAAAAGCTTTCCACTTTAGTTCTACACATATTAATAAAGAAAACTATTCTAAAAAAAAAAAAACTGCAGAACAGTATTATAATCCTGTTTATAATGACAAACTACAACAAAAGATATATATTTGTATGTTTATGCCTAAAATACCCCTGGAAGTATAGATAAGAAATTGACCATAGTGGTTGCCTCTTTAGCAGAGGCCACTGAAGATGATGGAGGACTTTTAATTTTTGTCTTATTGTATTAATTCTTCAATTTATTCTATAAAGGACAAAGGTTCGTGATATAAAAAAATCAGTTTAAAAAAATCTTTCAACTATTAATCTGACTCAAAGTCAACATTTTACAGAAACATTTAAAGTTTAACACTGTAAATATCTTTGATTTGGCCAGTCTTTCTCAAATTGGAGGTGGAAAAGGTGAGAGTAATCATAAAAACATACTCTTTCAACTATTAATCTGACTCAAAGTCAACATTTTACAGAAACATTTAAAGTTTAACACTGTAAATATCTTTGATTTGGCCAGTCTTTCTCAA